TTTGTAAACTCACCACGATGTCATGTGATGAGAACTTGCTTAAGGCTTTCCTGTTGTGTGATTGAATCTCACGTCTCTCTCTGAGGGAGCTATGGCAGTCCTCCTGCTTTGTGAATCCTCTGAGAATAAACAGTGACACAATACCACACTATCTTGATTCTGAATATTTTCTTTCAATATTTTTTTTTGAGACAGTCTCCTTGTCTAGCTCAGGCTGTTCTGGAACTCACAGAGATTTTCCTGCCTCTGCCTCCTGAGTGCTGGGATTAAAGGCGTGTACGATCCTGCTGGGCTCACGTAGGAACACCAATCCCTCTTCTCCCCCAGCACGCACTACCCAACACAAACCTAGTGGCCAGAGGACATCTGTGAGGAGTTGGTTCTCTCCTTCCACCGTGTGGGTCCCCAGGGGTCCAACTCACCCTTCAGCCTTGCCACCAGGCACCCTCACTGGCTAAACCATTTCACCAGTCTCTGAATACTGTCATATGCAATTATTTTTTTGTTTGTTTTTTTGGTTTTTCGAGACAGGGTTTCTCTGTGTAGCTTTGCACTTTTCCTGGAACTCACTTGGTAGCCCAGGCTGGCCTCGAACTCACAGAGATCTTCCTGGCTCTTCCTCCCAGTGCTGGGATTAAAGGCATGGACTGCCACCGCCCCGGCACCCTGCTTTCTTATAGAACCCAGGACCTCCAGCCCAGGGATGGTACCACCCATAATGGGCTGGGCCCTCTCCTATCAATCAATAATTAAGAAAATGCCTTACCATGGGTCTAGGAGAGCTGGCTTTGCCCATCACCTGAGGGTGGTGGTTGCAGTGGCCCACACCAACCAGCTCAGCTATCACCCAGACCCACATCTTGGGCCTTGGATTGGCCTACCCTAACATCTACCCCATCGATGACCTGCTGGAGTGTGAAGGGACGGTCCTAAGGACCAATAACTGCAGGATCTCCATCACGTGGGGCAACAGCAGATATCTGAGAAGAGTTTCAGTGAGAGTCCAGTGATGATGGTGTGGCAGAGGCCATGAACCAGACAGATGACTCATTGCAGTGAGTAGTTTGCAAGTGGGGCTGATTGAACCAAAGGGTATACTGTGTGACATGCCACTGGGATCAATGAAGAGGTGTAGGAAAGACAGAGGAGGGCATTTTTTTAAATTAATTTTTTCAGGGGTGCCTTTTCAAGAGGCATGCTGCAGGGGTGAGGGGTAGATATGGAAGCACTGGGAGGTGAGTGGGATTGGGGTGCATGATGTGAAATTCCCAAAGAATCAATAAAGAATTATGTGTAGTTGGAAGTTTTTCTGTGTCCCACCTGGTCCCACAGCCACTCGGACCCAAGTAAACACACAGAGGCTTATATTACTTACAAACTGTATAGCCTAATTGCTTAGGCTTCTTGCTAGCTGGCTCTTACAACTTAACTCAACCCATTTCTATTAATCTATGCCTTTCCACATGGCTGTGGAGTTACCGGTTTGTGGACATCTTGTTGCTTCTTGGGTGGTGGGCTGGCCTCTCCCCATTCTTCTTTCTTCTCTCTCTCCAGTTCAAATGTACTGCCTAACCTTATTCTGCTTTACCATTGGCCAAACAACTTTATTTACCAATCAATCAGAGCAACACATATTCACAGCATACAGAAAGACATCCCACAGCTGGGCGGTGGTGGCACATGCCTTTAATCCCAGCACTCGGGAGGCAGAGGCAGGCGGATCTCTGTGAGTTCGAGGCCAGCCTGGTCTCCAAAG